CATTGGCAGGGGCCTTAACAGTCTCCGTCGATCTGAGCAAAGCCTTTGACTCTGTCAACAGACAAGAGTTGCTTGAAGCCTTAGACAAGCTCAACATAGATCAAACCACTAAGGACTTTGTTGTACAACTCCACTCCTGTACTTCGTACAACATGGGCACTAATGGGCTTGAGTTCAGTGTTCCTACTTCTTCGGGAATAAAACAGGGATGTAAATTAGCTCCTGCATTGTGGTCTGCCTTAACCTTGCTAGTCATGGACAGGATGGAGAAGAAGTGGGGGCCTGGCAGCAGTCAGGCAAGAGATATACTCACTGTCTTCGCTGACGATTTTCTCCATCAGGAAACTTTTACAAGCTTTGCCGAACTGCAGCAGGTACTCACTCGGCTTGAAGCTTTGTTTCAATCCCTCGAGGAAGTCGGCCTTGAAGTCAATCCAGCGAAATCCAAGGCACTGCTCATGGTGCAAGGCACTCAGCAATCCCTCTTCCGCAAGCAATACACCAAACGATTAAAAAATCAGCTCCATTTGGTTCTTCCCTCGGGGCATCAGATTCCGATTCATCATCAGCTGACCTATCTAGGAGTGCAACTAAGCTATGGTGCTTACAAGGATCAAACAGTAGACTACAGGATTTCTCAAGCCCAAGGCAAATTTGAGCTCCTTAGGAGTATCTTGTGCACGACGAAGGCCCTTGACGAGGCGAAGAAACTAGAGATCTGGCGAGTGTATGTCGAGTCTTCGCTCTTGCATGGCATAGTCTCCACGGGAATCACCCACACGGGACTGCAAAAGCTCCAGAGCAAATATTCTCGGATGCTCAGATCTATCTTTCAGCAGCATCAGCATTTTAGTCGAATGGAAACCACAGAGCTGTTTGAGCACCACAAGATCCAAACTCCTCAGGAAGTTCTTCTCAGGCAAATGAGGAACTATCAGGATGCGATGGATGCTGCCAAGCCAACAGGCAATTTACAAACGATCCAAGAGTACCTGGGTCTACGCAGCCGGCTGATTAGCCAACAGCAGCTACTTCAATCCATGCAATTGGCTCTGGCCGAAGAAGATCATGCAGTGCCCTGTTCGCTATGTGATAGAAGTTTCTCTAGCAACAAGGGATTGCAGCATCATACACTAGTGAAGCATGGAGGCCAAAGAGCAAACCAGTTGGGCCCTAAATTCCAAGTCTTCGCACATAGTCTGCAGGGACTCCCGCAATGTGCAGCATGTCACAAACAGCTGCGCACAATGCATCAGCTTCGCAGACATGTTGAATCGGGAACATGTTTAAAGCTTCCAGAGCTGAGGGAGCGATCATCGTCCTGCTCAGGAGCGGAGAGCACAGCCTTGCTGCTCCAACCAAGTGTTCAGGATCAATTGAAAAGAGACCCTGACCTGCTTCTCAAAAAGGCTCATGTGACCAAGCACTTGCGGGCTTACTGCAGCCTCTGTGGGCAGTTCATTGTCGGTCACAAGGGCGTCAAACAGCACATTCAGAAAGCGCACCAGGCTTTCTGGGCAGGGGCCTCAGACTCAGTCTATGCCAACATGCGCACACATAAGAGACTGCTTCATAAAAAGGAGGAATGCAGATATTGTGGAATGATGGTTGACGCTCCGGTTCGCCACGCGGACCAGTGTGTAGTCCTGCTGCAGGTCTATGCCATGAGTGCAGCAATGAGAAAGTCTACCGACCCACACATAGAATATGGCACTGTGACGTCGGAACTTGGGATTCGTGCGCAGGAGGGTTCCTCCCAGGAGGCTTCCTCCACCAGTAGGATTCGGTCTCACCAGGCACCAGCAAGCTCCCAGCGAGACGCACCAGCAGAGGGGAGACCTTCGTCAGTGCCCGTCACAGCCTGGTCTCTGGCCTATCATAATCCGCATCAACTGTGCTATGCACACACAGTAGTGCATATCCTTGCCTCGCTTGCATCAGAGGGTATTCTTTCTGATCCATATCTGAGACAAATATTGACGGAAATTGACGCAGTAGGGGGTCGTTCTTCTAGTGTGGATGTTCGTAGGCTGCGACAGCTACGTCCTCTGCTGACGGGATGGCGATTCAGACCCAGGCAAGAAGATGCATCCCAGTTTCTAGCACATATCATTCAGAGATCCCATGTGCTTTCAGCAGATGTTTGGGAAGCGAGGGTTCAAATCACAGCACCCGTGGAAAGAATCAGCGTAGAGGATAGAGGGGGTTTGATTCTTTTCTTGCCTGACCCACCAGATGGCCTCTCCACACTACAGCAAGCCATTTCTCAGTGGGCGCACAGGGGGAGCACCTATGGGCTACTCCCGGGAGTGAACCTGGTTTGCATTCAGATCCAAAGGTTTGAGCACTTGGAGAAAACAAATCGGCCTCAAGTTTTAGACACCACTCTGGAGCTTCCAGAGTTTATAGATAATGGCACGACAACCGCTGTGGTCAGCTTTCGACTATATGCATTCATCATTCATCTAGGAGATGATTGGAGATCTGGGCATTATAGGACAGGTTTTTTGAGAGAAGAAGTGGCGTATCTCGCAGATGATGACCGCTCACCACGGCGAACTACGCTCCTCTCGGATCAAATTTGCCAGGGATCGTATTTGGCTTTCTACGTAAGGGTCTAGCTCGCTCTACCTTCGCATGCGGAGGTTTCCTCCGGAGGCTTCCTCCGCAGCAGTGTTCTTTCTTCTTAAAGTAGACCTATCTGCCTGCTGTTGCCTAAGGCAACTCGGCATGAACGCTGCCCTGCGCGCAATAAAGCCATGATCTCGTGCTAAGATGTATAGTCTCTTGCGTGAAACTTTCACATGCGGAGGTTTCCTCCGGAGGCTTCCTCCCCGGTAGTGTTTCTCACAGTAGACCGTTCTGCCTGCTGTAGCTTAAGGCCAAGCTGACCCATTCTTGTCCCTGAACCTGAAGCATCTGAAAGAGCCCTGCGCGCACTTCAGAACATGTGAGGTCTCCTCCAGGTCGGTGGGTTCAGCTTAGGGTCACTGTTTCGGATGCAACCTTGCCTTGTCGCAGCGCTGGCCCCGAGAGCCGTGCAAGGTGTCCCAGGTCAGGTGCTTCCCTCTTCGCAAAGTACTCGTGCCTATGTGAGACCTCCTCGTTAAGTTCGGTCAGTTGGGGTCACATTTCCTCGACCAGGAATGCAATTTTGCCCTGTCGCAGCGCTGGCCCCAGGAGCCGCGCAAGGCGTCCCAGGTCAGGCTTCGCAAACTTAGCTACCCTGCCTCCAACTTGGGCATCCTTCTTGGAGCGTGCAAAGCCGCCTTGGTGCGCTCTGCCTACGGCCCTCTGCCAGTTGTTTAGCGTTACCTGTGTGAGACGTCACTAGACAGGAACGCTGAGTGTCGGCCTCACCAGAGGTACGGCTCGCTAAACAGCTGGTGCGTGGGTGCTGGACGCAGTGACTCACAGTAGGGTGTCGGGGTAGCCGCGCTTATTTTTCACTCTTTTGCAGTGCTGAGTACTTGATATCGGAGGCTGCCTCCGTGCCAACTTCAATTTCTTCTTTGATTCATTGCATCAGATTAGGAGGTTTCCTCCTGAATATCCTTAAGTACTCTGCCAAAGCAGATTCAGTATAGCAGGTAGTGAGACCTGGCAATCTGGAGGAAGCGATCCTCTCGAAGTCCAAAAGGCCGGACGGTGAAATAAAAAAGGCGGGTGAGACCTTCTATATCACACTTGCCCGCCTTAATCACACCAAACTCAGCTAGCGCACAGCTATAGCCTGCAACGCAACATCGGGGCCAGCCGGCACTGCAGCAGTCGCGGGTGCAGGTGAGCCAGTAGGAAGCGGTCGTAGGGTGCCCAGCCAGCACAGCGCTATCGCAGCCCCGAGGGGCGGATGCATTCCACATACTCGAACATAGCTGTGCACAACAATCTTCAGCAGCCCCGAGGGGCGTGAAGTACGAACTAGCAAAGACTGCTGGAGCTCCCAAGGCGGATACAGAGTAGCCGACGTGCCGAGGATCCAAAGTGATCAGAGGTCCACATGCTGATTCTGGCAGTGAGTGCAATGCAAAATGTTGTTGTTGTGGTGGTTGTTGTTGTTGTCGTTGTCGTTGTTGTGGTGGTTGTTGTTGTTGTTGTTGTTGTTGTTGTTGTTGTTGTTGTTGTTGTTGTTGTTGTTGTTGTTGTTGTTGTTGTTGTTGTTGTTGTTGTTGTTGTTGTTGTTGTTGTTGTTGTTGTTGTTGTTGTTGTTGTTGTTGTTGTTGTTGTTGTTGTTGTTGTTGTTGTTGTTGTTGTTGTTGTTGTTGTTGTTGTTGTTGTTGTTTGTTGTTTGTTGTTGTTGTTTTGTTGTTGTTGTTGTTGTTGTTGTTGTTGTTGTTGTTGTTGTTGTTGTTGTTGTTGTTGTTGTTGTTGTTGTTGTTGTTGTTGTTGTTGTTGTTGTTGTTGTTGTTGTTGTTGTTGTTGTTGTTGTTGTTGTTGTTGTTGTTGTTGTTGTTGTTGTTGTTGTTGTTGTTGTTGCTGCTGCTGTTGTTGATATTATTATGTTATCATCATCATCATCATCGTCATCATCACCATCACCATCACCATCACCATCATCATCATCATCATCACCATCATCATCATCATCATCATATAGCAATAGCAATAGCCATCAAAATATCCATAATAATTATTATACATATTTTGGGGTCTTTGTTTTTGTTTTTGTTTTTCGGGTTGGGCGATTTGGGATTTAGGATTTTAAGATGTTTCACGGCTTCAGAGGTTTGGGCTTTGGTATTTTGGGGTTTAGGCATGACTTAGTAAAGTGCATTCGGAGCTTCTTGCCATTACGGAGAAACACGCAGGGGTGGAGGCATACTTGGCGTGAGGTAAGGTTCGGGGTCCCGTATTCCCCGCCCCCGCCCCCGCCCTCACCCCCCATTTGTTTTGGGGGTTTAGGGTTTAGGGTTTCTGGTTGAGGGCTTAGGGTTTAGGGCAATCCCCCTGACATAGAATAGGGTTGTAGGACTTGCATGAGAGCTTGGTCCCACAGCCAGGAAGTTGTCTGCTGGCAAAGTGGTGAGGGTCAGCGAGGCGAGGCGTACCGGTAATTGGCATGGCTGCTAATGTTGAGGGTTTAGGGTTTAGGGTTTAGGGTTTAGGGTTTAGGGTTTAGGGTAAAAGGAATTCAGAACCCTGAGCCCTGAACCCTGACCCTGTAACCCTAAACCCTAAACCGCATTGGCTGCCGATTTCACTTTCGTGTAGTCTGAAAACCCAGAGCCCTAACAGATTTTGCTGCCAAGTCCATGTTAGAGACCCGAGGCATGGGTTTTGACCCCAGACCCCAAACCCTCAACCCTAAACCCTAGCCCTATACCCAAAACCCTGAACCTCAATTTAAAGGCTCGAAGGGTTTGTCTCATGCACTCATGCCAGGCAAGGTTGGGGTTTACGGCCTAGAGGGTTGTTTTTGGGGGGAAAACCCTCTGGACCGTCTGGCATGAGGGCATGAGACAAATCGTTCGTGCGGTTGGGCTTGCAGCTACCTTCGTGTAAGCCCTGAACGGCTGAGGCATTGTTCGCGCTCGCTTCTTACCTCCCCTTGCTTGACGACCCCTCCCCCGCCCCCGGCCGCGTGGGAGGGGAGGGGAAAGGGGAGCCCAGAACCCAATGCGCCCGCCAGGGTCCGCGGACCCTAAACCCGAAACCCTGGGGTTTGGGCTTTAGGGTTTAGGGTTTAGGGGTTTAGGGGTTTAGGGTTTAGGTGCCAGCCGGTTCGCGCTTGAGTTGAGCTGTGGCCGCCTTAGGGTTTAGGGCTTATAAGGTTTAGGGTCGATTTAGGTGTCCTTTTCTTGGTGGGGCTTTAGGGTTTAGGGTTCAAGGGCTTTAGTGTAGATCTCGCGATTTCGCAGAGAGTCCGATTCTGAAGCCTTATGCCATTGACACCGAAAAGCGATCGTGAGAATAGTCAGATCACCCAGAAGAAGAGCTACTGTTCAGAGAGTAAGAGAATCATCAGCCAGGATTGTGCAAACCCACAACATCTAAACCCTAAACCCTAAACCCTAAACCCTAAACCCTAAACCCTAAACCCTAAACCCTAAACCCTTAAACCCGTGTGGGCGGTAGGTGGAGAGTCCCCTGGACACGGCAGCAGAGATGGACTTTGTTCGCTTCTACACAGCCCTGATGTACAACGGGGAGACAGTCGCCACGGGCTCAGACCTTGGAGCGGGACTTGGTTAGGGTTTAGGGTTTAGGGTTTAGGGTTTAGGGTTTAGGGTTTAGGGTTTAGGGTTTAGGGTTTAGGGTTTAGGGTTTAGGGTTTAGGGTTTAGGGTTTAGGGTTTAGGGTTTAGGGTTTAGGGTTTAGGGTTTAGGGTTTAGGGTTTAGGGTTTAGGGTTTAGGGTTTAGGGTTTAGGGTTTAGGAATAGGGATTGGGATACTAAGCAGGGCAGCCCCAATCAGGGTCTCTGCTGGTGGACTTGTATGGCATCTTATCACTCTTAAGTTGTACGTACCTGCTTACAGAGTTCCCACTTCCAAGGAAGCGGAGCGGATGTATGGGCGTAGGGTTCTGAGTTTGGTTCCCTGAAACCAGGGTTCGTGGTTTCGGGTTTATGGGTTTAAGGTTTAGGGTTTCGGGTTTCGGGTTTACAGGGTTGTTTCAACCCCTGAGCCCACAGATGGGTGCTGAGCGTTCCATGGCGGGTTGCTGGCAGGCTGTAGGGTTGAGGGTTTCCCTGAGCTTCCCCGAATTTACCCTAACCCCCCAAACAAAAAATTAGGGTTTAGGGTTTAGGGTTTTGGGTTTAGGGTTTAGGGTTTAGGGTTTAGGGCAAAACCTCAAGCCCTACATAAACCCCTAAACCCTAAAACCTAAACCCTAAACCCTAAACCCTTATAGACTGGTTCAAAGTTGCCAGGTGGAAAAATCCGGCAACCACATGGGCTTCATCCGCTTGGATGGCTTGGAAGTTGGTTCTCTGCCACCTGGCAGCCTGCAGGGTTTAGGGTTTAGGGTTTAGGGTTTAGGGTTTAGGGTTTCGGGTTGAGGGTTTAGGGTTTAGGGTTTAGGGTTTGGGGTTTAGGGTTGAGGGAGGGATGAGCCCCCTCGGACTAGAGTCCCTTAACAGGGGGAAGCCTTGTCAAAGATGGATCCTAACTTATGGTTCTTTGGGCACAGGTATCTTGAACAACTGCCTTATGCCTTCTCTACATGTGAATATTCAAAAATCTGAATGAAACGCTTTGTGTCCATTGGTTGGGTTTTTCTTGATCCCTCACTGGTCCTGGCCCCTCGCCTTTGGGGCTCTCTCGGACCTCTTGAGAATTCCAGGGGATTCTCCCTGGGACCTCCCACCCCCTTCTGTATGATATATATATATATATATATATATATAACATATACATAAAGTGTATATATATATATATATATGTAAATATAATTCAGATGGAAAGGGATGCTGGGAGGGTGGGGGGTGATACCAATTACATAGTGATGTACGGGGGCCTTGCACATCGCCGGGCCTAGGCCAATTTGGTTCAGAATCCGGTTTGGTTCAGGGTTTGCCGTTTAGGGTTGGCCGTTTAGGGTTTAGGGTTTAGGGTTTAGGGTTTAGGGGGTCTAGTTTGTTTAGGCTGTGTTTGGTCTTTGTGACTTCTGTGCTTCCCAGGGGCTGGAGTCGAACTTGGGCTGTTGTGGTGTCTGAGCTTAGGGGTTTAGGGTTTAGTGTTTAGGGTTTAGGGTTTAGGGTTTACAGCTTAGGGTTTAGGGTTTACGGTTTAGGGTTTAGGGGTATATGGTTATAGGGTACCAAGAAGAAGCTCGTACTTTGGATCGGTCCCAGCGTGAGGCTTGGTGTTCCAGGTTCCTTTGTAGGGCCAGACAAGTAGAGCTTCTGGATTGCCCTAAGCCCTACGCCCTGAGCCCTAAGCCCTAAGCCCCAAGCCCCAAGCCCTAAGGCCCAAAATGAACGATGACTCCTAAACCCTCAACCCTCAACCCTCAACCCTCAACCCTAAACCCTAAACCCTAAACCCTAAACCCTAAACCCTAAACCCTAAACCTGAAGCCGATGAAAACCAGCGGCTCCAGGCACAAGTTCTCCATCATCGAAGGAGGCGCCGCTGGTTTGGGGTTTGGGGTTTAGGGTTTAGGGTTTAGGGTTTAGGGTTTAGGGTTTAGGTTTTAGGTTTTAGGGTTGAGGGTTTAGGGTTTAGGGTTTAGGGTTCCAGCCCTAAACCCTAAGGCTTAAACCCCAATCCCCTCGAGCCGAAACCCTAAACTCCATGGTCCTTGTGGGCTCTGCCTGCCGAAGCCCTAAACCCTGCACCCGAAACCCTTACTCCCAAAACCCTAAACCCTTGAACCCTAAAGACCCACCAGGAGCTGTCTCCTGGACTTTTCAAGGTTTAGGGTTTAGGGTGTAGGGTTAGGGTTTCGGGTTTAGGGTTCACGGTTTAGGGTGCAGGCTTTAGGGTTTAAGGAGGGCTCTAGGGTGTATGGCTTGAGGGGGTTTAGGGCTTTTGGGGGTTTAGGGTTCATGGTTCCGTGCCTGTCACCATGAGAGCATTGCTCGTGTGCGTCATCTCGATGTGTCGGGATAGGCGAAGTCGAGAGCACCCCTGTAGAGGAATGCCGTTGAAGGAAAGCTAGGCACAGGCGCCGCAGGGCATCCCGGCCCTTGCACAAGCTTTTGGTTTAGGGTTTAGGGTTTAGGGTTTAGGGTTGAGGATTTAGGGTTTAGGGTTTAGGGTTTTCCAGGACTTGTGAGCACCTCGAGGCAGCAAGTCAAGTTAACAATGGGTGCCATGCCGCACCGACAGCTTCCTTAGTAGCCCAGTGGTACCCTGTAGCCTTTTTTTGGGGTCGGGGTTCCCTTATAATTAAAGTAACCAACCCAAAAAAATGTGCCCTTATTTTCATATGGTTAGAGAAACAGGCAGCCAGCAAAAAGTCAGCGAGTTCGTGTAACCCAGCGGCGGGCGCCGTGGGGCAGATGTGCACACACAGGATGCGTTGTGGGGAGTGCGGACTAAGCTACCCGCCCCTCCCCCCTCTCTTCCGCGAAGCCCTCGACCCGCACCCACGATCCCAAACCCCTAACCCCTGAAGCCTCAGCCCTACAGACCCACCCTACACCCTAAGTCCTAAGCCCTAAGCCCTAAGCCCTAAGCCCTAAGCCCTAAGTCCTAAGCCCTAAGCCCTAAGCCCTAAGCCCTAAACTCCAAGCCCACCCCTTGCGACCCAGAGCCCTAAACCCTAAACCCTAAACCCTACGCCCTCTGACCCTGAACAGGCCTCTGTGTGCGGAGGGACTATCGCCTCCCACGCTGCACCATGGCAGCTCGGTCACCTTGGTAGGGACCCTAAACCCTAGACCCTAGACCCTAGACCCTAGACCCTAGACCCTAGACCCTAGACCCTAGACCCTAGACCCTAGACCCTAGACCCTAGACCCTAGACCCTAGACCCTAGACCCTAGACCCTAAACCCTAAACCCTAAACCCTAAACCCTAAACCCTAAACCCTAAACCCTAAACCCGTTTGGGGTTTAGGGCTTGGGGTTGATTTCAACACGTAGCAAGATGGTGGCTTCCGAAATCGGGGGGTACCTTCTTTGGGTCCTTATCATAAGGGAATCCTAATATTTTGGGTCTTTTTTGGTGGTCCCCTATTCTCGTAAAACCCCCAAATCAGTCTCAACATCAGTAGTGTTGTAATAGTATTCAACTACCGTTTTGGCCATTGGTTCTTGAGTACTGATATCAAGATATCGGTACTACTAATGAATGCTACATCTGGATAGCTTCTTCTTTTGAGGTTTTGTGATTCGGAATCCGCCCAGTGCCTTAAACCAACCTGCAGCCAGCTCCCCCCCCCCCCCCCCCGCCCCACAAAAAAAACAGACAGAACTAGCTCTGTTTCGTGTTCGAGGTTTCCTTCAGCTAATCGTATGCCTTGGGCCCAAGACCCGAAGTTTGGAGGGCGACGGAGGAGTTCGGGCCTTCCATGGCTTTCGTTGCATGGATAGGTATAACTAGGGCTATAAGTGCCCTAAGTAAAGGTATAACCATAATATACCATAACTAACCTACTTTTAATGGGGTGAAACCACGCTGGCGGTCCTGGGCCCCAAATCTCCGTAAGCCCCCCAAAACACACACCCAAAGCGCGATACGCACGTGATTCGAAACCCTGAGCCCCCAGACCCTTCAGCAAAAAAGTGTGGCAGGCGCAACAAACTGTGCAGGTTCTCGCCGGCAGGTGTTTTTTTTGCTGACAAAAATGAATCGGCTTTGTTGGGGGGATCCGGCGCCTTCCAATCGGAACACAGCGTCGGCTGCATGGCTCCAAAAACATGATGCAGTGTTGCATCACTTTGTCTTAGGGGCTCTTGGAAACAATATTTGGTCGTTGGTTGCTAGAGTTCCTAAGGAACAGCTACAATCTTTGTTGCAAGGGTGACAAGTTCAGTATAGTTGTAGTCAGACAAGAAGACCACATGACCAGGTGCGTAAATGTGCACATTCCACTGGGCCTGCCACACTTTTTCTGCAGTTTCGCATCTTGTCAATCAACTTGGCAGAAGAATTGATGTCAGCATCAGCACGTTGGTTCGCGAAGAGTATCCGGATCATTATACTGCTTCTCAGCACCATTGTCATTATGTTGGCGGTACGTGCCATGGAACCGGCTGAGACACCTGCGCTTCGGGTCTTTTGTTCTTTTCGGCGGTGCTTTTGGAGTTGTAGGATGATGGCTCCAAGGGCATAGAGAACTCAACCCTGCCCAGCCGCCGGCCATCGTGACATCGATGGAGCCTGTCCCTGTGCCGTGCTCAGCCCGTGATGCACCAGGCCCTTTCTAAATCCCCCTGCGAAGTCTGGGGACTCTGTATGCGCAAGTTACGCCTTTGTTCCATAAGACCTTACACCAGAATCCCCCAACACCCCGAACACCTTCCACTCTGTGAGGGTTCATCTCGTCTTGAGGTTCAGGGTTTAGGGTTTGGGGTTTTAGGGTTTAGGGTTTAGGGTTTGGGGTTTAGGGTTTAGGGCCATGAGGCATTTATAGAGCGCAGGCTGCGCAAGGTCAAGCCCATGCCGGAAGCTGTCAGGGGCTTTCGGGGGGCTCATAGGGTCACTTCTCTGCCTCAGCCCTAAACCCTAAACCCTAAACGGCCTAAACCCTAAACCCTAAACCCTAAACCCTAAACAGTAAACCCTAAACCCTAAACCCTAAACCCTAAACCCTAAGCCCTTTTGGGGTTACTGTTACAAGGCGGCCCCTAATATGTAGGGTACCCAATAAGGGACCATGAGATAGAGAGCTTACCACATGGGTCACTTCTACAGATTCTGGTCCCTTTTGGTGGCCCTTCTTCTGAGGCATCGAGCTTGGGGCTGAGGCTTTGAAGGGTAAACTCCTGAACCCTCAGCCCTCAGCCCTCAGCCCTCAGCCCTAAACCCTAAACCCTAAACCCTAAACCCTAAACCCTAAACCCTAAACCCTAAACCCTAAACCCTAAACCTGAACGCTCCAGGTCTTCAAAGGTGGGCACTACTTCGAGGTCTCCGTGCAGAGCCTCTTCCAGTCTATCTCATCCGCCGACAGGTCATGCTGCTTTGAGGAGGGTCGAGGGTTGAGGGAACCCTAACCCTAGGCCTTAAGCCCTAAGACGTAAGCCCTAAGCCCTAACCCTACGCCCTAAGCCCTAAGCCCTAAATCCTAAACCCAGACTCTCTCAAAACCCCAAAGCCTCGTGACCCATGTCGCTGTCCCTGGATCTTTCGACAGTATGGGCCCACCACACTTTTCGCAAGATTGGTTTGAATATGTGAGCATGAGAGTCAGTTAGGCCCCCCTAAACCCTTAACCCTAAACCCTAAACTCCAAACCCTAGGTAGCACTCTTCTTTTGCATCAAGACAACCGAAATCGATGACCTGCCACACTTCGCGCAATCTTGATCTATGTTGACTCTAAATCGTGGACCTTCCAGAGGTCCGCATCTGTGTCGATCTACACAATCACAACAGTCTCCCCCCCCCACCAGACTTCTTTCAACTTTGGCGAGCAAGCCGGAAACATTGAGTTCTCCAAATCAGGCCAAGAGTGCCCGAGACTATTGGCCGCAGCGCAGGTGGGGAACCCGCACCCTGAACCCGGACATGTGGGCCCGCACCCTGCGCGTTTGGGGCTTAGGCTGTAGGCCGCCGCCCCCCCCAAGCCCGAATCCCTGAATCCGCACTCATGACCAGTGTATGGTCAGCTCCCTAAGATGTGGTCCATTTGGGGTTCTCATGATAAGGAGGCCCTCTTATTTAGGGTACCCAACAAGGGGCCATAATCTAGATAACTGACCAGATAGCCCTGGCCCTCTAGGCACCTTTTTTTAGAATAACCCTAAACCCTAAACCCTAAACCCTAAACCCTAAACCCTAAACCCTAAACCCTAAACCCTAAACCCTAAACCCTAAACCGTGGCTCTGCAATCTTTAAAAGTCTGTGGGAAAGCTGGCGGGCTTCACCTACGCCTTCTTTCTGGGCCAAAGAAAAACCGAAGACGGCAGCGCAGAACCCGAACTTTGGCTGGGATGCCCTTCCTAAGACAAAGCATGTTTGAGGGTTTAGGGTTTAGGGTTTAGGGTTTAGGGTTTAGGGTTTAGGGTGTTTTCGCCATGTGCCCTGGCAATCCGGAGTCGATGAGCAAGCAATGAGAAGGCCCTCCCAATGAGAAAGCCCTCCGGCCAAAGACGTCCCGTGGCGTGGGCTTTATGGCTTTCAGGCCTCGTAAGTCCCCCAGCGCAGAACCTGAACTTTCGCTCAGATGCTTTCTGTATCCCGCACAGGACGAAACATCATTGTGGCAACCGGCTTTCGCCATGGGCAAGTCGGGATCGATGAGAAGAACGCTGAGAAGTTGAGAAAGCCCTCCGCCCGACGACGTCCCCCGGCGCGAAGCCCGAAATCGCTCGGACAGCAGCAGGTTTTCGCCACCTCGGCCAGCCGATGAAAAATGACTGATCCTAGGTAGGATAAGGGGGACCACTACAAGGGAGCCCTTCTTAACCTTCTTCTGGCTCTCTTCAACAGGGACCTTATTGAGAGGGTCTATATTTTGAAGGGTCCCCCTATTCCTAGTCAACGCGAAACCTAAAATTTCGCTCAGCTGCTTCTGGCTTTGTGACTTTCACCCTGCACCTTAGGCATCCCGGACTCGATGCGTCAGAGGTAGTAGGCCGAAGACGTCCCCCGCCGCAAACCTAAGTTTTCTCCCGTGAGCTACTGCTGTTCTTCACAAAGTCTTCGTATGTTTGTAGTCAAACTGCGTGGGTGCAGCCGACAAACCCGAAGCATAGTGTCTTCTGCAGAGGTATGTAAAATCGGCTTGGCTGGCTCGGGTTAGGCTGGCTCCAGATAGTTTCGTTCTAGTAGTTGCGTGGTCTTGGGGCGGGCATGCTGCGTACTACTATGCGCTTATCCGCGTGCGCGCGCGCCTGCGCGCGACCTCGCCGAGCCACACCCTGAACCGTAAACCCTAAACCCTAAGCGCAGTACGTGAGCCTTGCGGAAGTACACAATATCATCCACATACCATCCCTACTACAGCCTACTGGTTGGGGTTTAGGGCTTAGGGCTTAGGGCCTAGGGCCTAGGGCCTAGGGACTAGGGGCTTAGGGCTTAGGGCTTCCCGCATAGGGCTTAGGGCTTAGGGCGTAGGATTTTTTTATTGTGGGAATTAGGTACTTACTTGGAGGCTGATGGGTACTTATCGCCCAATGATAGCTGTACTTTTTAGCCCCTTAAGTCCTCCAAGCAGGTTATGAATAAGTAGGCTAGTACCCATGAATCTCCAAGTACACCCCCCTCTCTGTTCCATGCAGGGTACCGAATTCCCTATACAAACTCCCCCCCCCCCCCCCCCCAAGTACCTATTCAACTTCCCTAGGCCCCGTACATTCGAGCTTGGGGGGTCCCTAAACCCCAATCCTGAAACCCGAAACCCAAAAAAACACCCAAGACAACTCCTGATAGGCCTCGTGCTGGGCTTTCGCGCCTCGCAGCCCTATGACCAAGACGAGTTTTGGCCCCAGTGCAGGTGAATTTTACGGTGTAGGGTTTAGGGTTTGTCACGCCTTCTTTTGGATGCTCAGCCTGAACCCTTCACCCTCAACCCTTTACCGGGACCCTTTTGGGGGTGCAATTCAGGGTTTAGAGTTTGCCGAAGGAACCTGCAAATCAAGCAAGGTTCAGGGTTTAGTGTTTCCGGTGCAGGGTTTGAGTTGAAGGTTTAGGGACTAGCCCCTAAACCCCTTAACCCTAAGCCCTAACCCCCTGAAGCCCATTAACCCTAAACCCCTAAACCCCTAAACCCCTAAACCCCTAAACCCCTAAACCCCTAAACCCCTAAACCCCTAAACCCCTAAACCCCTAAACCCCTAAACCCCTTAACCCTAAGCCCTAACCCCTGAAGGCTTGCAGATGATGTGTCCCGGGTCTCGAGTTCCTGGTGCCTCTCTGCAAACGGGCCACCCTGGCTGGTTTAGGGTTTAGGGTGCTTATGGATTGCCATAGGGTTTTAGGGTTTAGGGTTAAGTTTTCACGGTCGAGGATGTCGGGGTATTCGGGTGTTTACGGTTAAGTTTTTAGGGTCAAGGTTTTGTCGCTTAGATGTTCGGGCGTAGGCCTAGGGTTTAGGGTTGTAGGGTTTCAAGTTTTGCAGTTTCGTTTGGGTATGTTTGGGGTTCAAGGCGGGAGCCCTTATAGTGGAATCTGGAGTAGGGGCTATATTGCGGCTATATTGGGGCTGCATTGGTATTTCTCAATTTGTGATTTCCCTATCTGGGTAACTTGAATAAGGCTCCGTATTCTAACCGGTACCCCAAAGAGGACCGTACAGGCTATAGAACATATGCAGAGGTGTGATCTAGCATTTCTTGGAGGTTCATGGTACCTATTCACCCATTTAGACCTGTACTTATAACCCACTTAAAACCTTGCCAGGGCTCTTAGGGGTCTTATGAGTGGTTGCAGGTACCGTTAGAACAGGGTTTAAGTACGATGAAACCCCAAGTAAGGGTCCTGCCTCGTAATTATGCCAAAGGTTTGGAGGTTCTGCAGGACTCTCCACTTTACATGAGGGCTGTTCATGATTCGTGCCCCTGATTTCTTAGAAGGGATCCGATTAAGAGGTCATTCTTGGCTGAGCCAGAACAGCTGTAAACCCTAAACTCTGAACCCTCCGAGCCTAGGGCTGAGTTACACGGGACTGAGTGCTTCAGCGTTCTCCTGATTGAACGGGGGTTTGGGGTCTTAGGTTTGCGGAATGTTTGGGTCTGGGGGCTTAGGTGTTAAGGTTTAAGGGCTTAAGCCTTAAGTCTCGAAAGCCCTTAGAACTTATACCTTCGCGCTGATTCCTTAAACCGCTGAGTCCTTAAACCCTGCAAGCCCTGCTGTAAGTTCGTAAAACCCCCTAAGCCTGTTAACCCTCCCGCAGACCCTTAAGCTGTTTGAGCCTCATGAGAGCCCAAGGGCCCCAAACCAACCCCAAGAACTAAACCCTAAACCCTAAACCCTAAACCCTAAACCCTAAACCCTAAACCCTAAACCCTAAACCCTAAACCCTAAACCCTAAACCCTAAACCCTAAACCCTAAACCCTACACCCTCAACCCTAAACCCTGAACCCTCAACCCTAAACCCTAAGAACCCCAAGAACGCAAAGGACTCAATGGACCCAAAGAACCTTAACCCTAAAGGTATATACTGGGGCCCTAAAGTTACTATATGGGACCCCGTTAAGGCACAAGTAGGTACCATATAGGTACATGGACCTTTAAGGGGGGACCCCAAGAAGGGACCCGCAATCTTATTCCCTATATAACCTTATAAGTCCCTATCACCTAAAAAGCCCCCAAATAACCCCCAAATAACCCCCAAATAACCCCCAAATAACCCCCAAATAACCCCCTAAATAACCCCCAAATAACCCCCAAATAACCCCCAAATAACCCCCAAATAACCCCCAAATAACCCCCAAATAACCCCCAAATAACCCCCAAATAACCCCCAAATAACCCCCAAATAACCCCCAAGGTCCCTTTATGAGGATCCCTCCTTTAGTCCCTTGACCCCCAGTGGCAGGTTCTTCTTCATGCAGGCAGGGCCGGCGCCTCCCTCGGTGCGTCGTCCCGTGAGCCAGGCCGGTCCTTGAAATATTTGGAGAAAGTCCCTAAACCCTAAACCCTAAACCCTAAACCTTAAACCCCAAACCCCAAACCCCAAACCCCAAACCCCAAACCCCAAACCCCAAACCCCAAACCCCAAACCCCAAACCCCAAACCCCAAACCCCAAACCCCAAACCCCAAACCCGAAACCCTAAACCCTAAACCCTAAACCCTAAACCCTAAACCCTAAACCCTAAACCCTAAACCCTAAACCCTAAACCCTAAACCCCAACCCCTAACCTCTACCCCCCCCTAACCTCTAACCCCTAACCCCCAACCCGTAACCAAATCCCTAACCCCTAACCCCTAACCCCTGAGCCCCAGCACCCTAAGCCCCGAATGCCCACTGCTCAGACTTGTCTTATGGAGTCTTTTGAGGGTTTAGGGTTTAGGGTTTAGGGTTTAGGGTATGGGGATTTGCTGCTGCCGGGGTTTCAAGTTTGAGGGGGGCCTTCTCTGGGTCGCTGTTAATGACGATAGGCCTACCGGCGCTTAATAGGGAGTGAGGTAAGGAATTTCATTGATTCATGTAGGGATCCTTGATATGATTCCAGTGGTACAATTGCAACTATGGCAGCTCGATGGCACGGAGGCCGAATCAGCTCGAGCCCGAAGACTGCGTGCAGGAAGAGATTGATCAAGCGAAGAACTGCAGGACAGCATGCTGAGAGCAGTGAAGATCCGAGCATGAGGTTCCTTCCACAAGAGCCTGCATCCAGTTCTGACGTGCGACCTCGAGAACCGTACGCGTCTCAGCGACATGAGTTGACGCAAAAACGTGAAAACCCATGAATCCAGAAGTTAAAAAAACTAAATCCTGATTTAATTGTTGCTTCTGGGTTGGGTTTTGACCTACCTCGACATACCTTGTCCCTACAAAAACACAATTAAATCGTGATTTAATTGTGTTTCT